TATAGAAAAACCTTCATTTAACGGACATCAGTCAAACGGGTAGTTTGTTAAAAAGAGGTTTCGCATCTAACGAACCTCGATATAATAGACCAAACTCTCTAATATGGACACATTAAGGTAAATACACATACTGTACATGTACAGTCGCCAGCAAATGTCCTGTCGCCTCTCCTGCTGCTCCACGAACCCTGCCTGTGTACACCTGCTGAACACGCCTGCCTGTGTACACCTGCTGAATATACCTGCCTGTGTACACCTGCTGAACACACCTGCACCACTTCTCACCTGGAGAATGAGAGAGAGAGAGAGAGAGAGAGAGAGAGAGAGAGAGAGAGACTGAAGAGGTCTGGGGAGGGGGTGAGTGAGAGGGGTGGGTGAGAGGGGGTGGGTGAGAGAGGTGGGTGAGAGGGAAGGTGAGAGGGGGTGGGTGAGAGTGAAGGCCTTCTACAAGACAGAATATGTAGATGGGAGGTACTGCATTTGAGTGGGAGGTCTGTGAGTGGTGTGGGAGAGGAGTGAGTGAATTGTGCACCCCCGTATGGGAGAGTGGTGTGAGAGGGCAGGGAAAGGGAAGGCTTCCTGTACCAGAAACAATACTCTTTATCGATGAGTGGTGTTGTGAGTGGGAGGGGAGTGGGAAAGAGGTGCTGGGGTGAGAGGGCAGTGGGAAAGAGGGATGGTAGAAGGGTGACGGGGGTGGTAGAGGGGTGAGAGAAGGGTGTGAGAGGAGTGAGAGGGGTAGAAGGGTGAGAGGGGTGGTAGAGAGGTGTGAGAGGAGTGAGAGGGGTGTAAAAGGGGTGAGAAAGGTGGGAGGTGTGGGAGAGGTGTGGGAGAAGGGTGAAAAGGGTGGTAGAGAAGAGTGAGAGGGGTGTGAGGGGTTTGTGAGTGTTGTGAGAGGGTTATGAGAGGGGGGAGATCTACCGTACAAGAAACAATGCCTTATATCGATGAGTGATGTCGAGGGTCCAACACCTGGAGGGTACACGTCCTGTGGGGGGGAGGGAAGGAGAGGGAGAGGTAAAGGAGATAAGGAAAGAAGAAGGGAGGGAGGGAAGGAAGGTAAAGGAAGGAAGGAAGAAAGGAAGAGAGACAGAGAGAACAACATAAGGGCTTGTGGGGAACATCTCTCTCACAAATTTTACGTGGTGAGAGTCAAGGTAGGAAGGGGGGAAGAGGAGGGGAGGGGGGAAGGGTAGGGGGGAGGAGGAGGGGGAGACGAGGGGAGGGGTAAGAGAAAAGAGAGGGGAGGGGAAGGGAGGTGAATTATGAGGCTGGCATACCACTAGATAAATTATCAACTTGTGTGTGTGTAAACTAACTGGTGTGGAGGCAAGTTAAAAGGTGAAAATATACGGGACTACACCTACAACCTCTACACTAACGGCTACACCTACACTCACACTGGTGGAAGGCGTGGGCTCGATACTACACAGAGAGGGTGTAGCGAGTGTGTTAGGTGTAGTGTGACGTGGGGGAACATATTTACACCTATACCTATACACCTGCACTCAAAAATATGCAAATGAGAGAGAGAGAGAGAGAGAGAGAGAGAGAGAGAGAGAGAGAGAGAGCACACACACCTTGACTGCTACACACGTCTTGTGTCTGTGTTCTTGTGAGAGATACTTGGTGTAGTACAATATTATACATCTGATGTAGTGCAGAGGTTGGCCAAGGATGGTGATGGAGTGGGGGGGGGGTCGCTGCCTGCCCCCTCTCTCTCTCTCTCTCTCTCTCTCTCGCACACACACACACACACACACATTAGCCAAGACCCTTTGTTGGAGGACTTCATATATTACACCAACGCCTAAGTCATCGACTCCAATACCTCTCATCGTCACCAACGCTTCCCCTGCCTGGTCTTCTTAACTACACGAGGGCTCTTAGTACAGGAGGCGGCGTGTAGGACTAATCTCTCCCTCTCCTACACCACATATCAGGAGGCACTCAACACATTGACCCTCTCAATTCTCTCTGGTCATCACCATAACCCCATCTATCAGTTTTGGTGAGAAACTTCCGCACTATCCTCGATACCGTCCCCTGCTCCCACCTGAGATCCCTCGGCCGTGAATTGCTGCTTGACACCACAACAGCATCCAGCCCATTGTAACGATCATCAACTTGTGTGTTCACTTCTTGTCAATCTCAATTTTGTGCTGAAACTGTTCTGTAATGACTTGTTAAATGATCCTCCTCCAGGTAATTACAGCACCACACACACGTCAAAGGGACTCCATTAACACAAAAAAGACTTTATTACTGTACAGCGTGAAAAGAGACGTTCAGGTGTAAAAAGCCAGAGGAGGGGGGAGGAGATGAGAGAGCGTGTGACCCTTTTAGTAGCTGCCCCCCCCCCCACACACACACACATTCCAAACATTGTTCTGAGTGGTTGGCACAAGCAGTGATGACTCGATAACACGCACAGAGTACAGGGCTTCGTTCTTCTTCACCTACTACTTCTGTTACTACATTAACGTGGCCTCCAGTCTCCCCCAATAGCCACACCTTCGCCGCCATTTTATTACCTTAATATTAAATATCCTAATACATAAGTAGCTATCCAAGCTGTGTTGAGCTAGTTGAGCTGCAGATCTATGTGGCATTCAGTGACCGTTGCGTCGTAGTCAATATCTGCAACTGTTGTCGGCATTGGGGCCGATGCTCTCTTTCCCCTGAGGCAGAGCAAAGCAGACCTAATGAGAGAGGAGGACAGTTGACATCTCATCCAGGCTGTAACATAACTTCTGGGCTGCTGCTTCTGTTCGGATAGCACCTCCGCGAGTCTGGTGTAGAGGCATCTTGCACTTGGTCACATCCCACCAGAGGTTGTGAACACTAGAGGAGTGAAGCTGCCTTGATCAACGTTCTGAATTATCTCCCTGTATGCACTTATCTTGTCGTTCTCGTTCCTCCTGTGCGCAGCATCGAGAGCTAAGTTATGGTGACATGCAGCCATGGGATCAAAAATCTTGATGTCGAAGAAGGCTTGCTGTCCCAGTGTCTAAAATCCTCGAGCACTGACGTCAACACAGGTTTTGTTGGAAGTGTTTGAAGTCCCATGTTGGAAATTCTCACTGTCCAATGGAAGGAGGGTCGGTTCTACCCTAACATCATGACAGATTTCCTTCAACATATTTGCTGTTAGATCCTTTACTTCGTCATGCCTCATGCATACGACGCCCCCTTTCTTGCACACCATGGCGTGATCGACGTCATAGGAAGAGCCACACATGCATTGGGAGGGTAAACCTTCTACTGGCATTGGCATCTGTAAATTCTTGTTTATTGAGACTGAAACCATTTGCCCTTATCGGTAACATAGGTAACCAGTTCCAGGCGCCCACCTCCTGCGCTATAGCTACTTTTTTTCTTCAAACTCTCTGGTACTTGCAGCATCAGTTGCTGCAACTTATCACTTTGGCCGTGCTGTCATTCTGTCGTAATGGACCGTCGAATCTTGTTTACTTCGCTGGTATCCACCTTGCCTGTTGCATTCTGAGCTATTATGTAGTCAGTGAGGGGTGGTCAGTGAGGGCTGCCGTGAGCTTACCTGAGTTTTGATGTTCGGTGGCAGCAATCTCCTCTGGATTGGTCAATCCCATTCCTCCTAGTCTCGGTGGTAGTGCAAGGATTTATCTTTCTGCTGGGGTTAAGTGAAGATGTTTCACTAATTTGGGAATGAAATTGACGCTAATAGCTTCTTCCAGAGGGTGGAGGAGGGGTCCGATATCAGGGATAGTGCGCATCAGGTAGTTCCAGCGATGCTCGACTCCATGGTTGAATTGCCGCAAAAGCCACATGTGGCTCTGTGTTAGCAATCTCAGACAAAGCTTGGATTTCCCTAACCCACTCATTCACCTTTCCCGGTATGTACTTCTGTCACTACTACTACTACTACTACGGTAACCTCAGCATTTACTTCAGTACCTCAAGTCAACAACACTTCACTCACCTGTGTTGATAAGTAAACATTATACCTGTCCGGCTATCCCAAATTGGGCATAAAAACGAAAACAATTGAATACCGATGCCGAACCATATGAAGTTGTTCGCTGTCATATTTCCCGCCTCTGTTGACGGTCGTGTAATATTTCAATGTGATTCTGATCTTTTAAAATGTTGGTTTTGCATAATGTAGTATTACTGATACATAATTTGTCTTATTATGCCTTAATGTGGGTAAAAATAAGTATATATTAAGTGCTTCCTCCGAGAGCGTAAATTTGCTACCCGAGTTTAGCAGTTAATTCATGTATAATACTTCTGATAAACTTCCCACGTGCTCATGTTTGAAATAATGAATATATGTATCTTTATATGATTTAGCTAAATATCTTCCTCGTCAGAAACGGTCATCCCAACGATTATGAATAAACTCATTTAGAAATACATCATTACTTCAGGACAAAATCGGACAGGTTTCCAACAGCCAATCAGCTGTAACTCTTGGAGAGGGGGCGGGGCATCTTTTCTCAGCTGAGAAGAAACGCTCTATAGTACTTCATCTTCACTACAACACTAGTAATACATCTTCACTACAACACTAGTACTAAATCTTCACTACAACACTAGTAATACATCTTCACTACAACACTAGTACTAAATCTTCACTACAACACTAGTAATACATCTTCACTACAACACTAGTGCTAAATCTTCACTACAACACCAGTACTAAATCTTCACTACAACACTAGTAGTAAATCTTCACTACAACACTAGTAATACATCTTCACTACAACACTAGTACTAAATCTTCACTACAACACTAGTACTACATCTTCACTACAACACTAGTACTACATCTTCACTATAACACTAGTACTAAATCTTCACTACAACACTAGCACTACATCTTCACTATAACACCTCTTCTACATTATTACCGTCACTATAATCACCACACCCTTTACTATATTTCTCAACTCCTCAAATTGAAAGTTGAGGTGTGTTGTTCTCTAAGACAAAAAAATAAAATAAAAAAGTAAAAAATGTCCTCTGTGCGACGAATTTACGACGACGACGTGGCGTTCCTCGTCAATCAGAATATCAATGAGCTCGGCTCTGGAACATCAGGCACCGCCTTCCTAGTTCCATGGCATGGTAAGGAAGCCGTGCTAAAGTTGGCCCGCAAGGATACGAGTAAAACCCTGAACGATTTCTGGGAAGAAACAAAGATGATGATCCATTCAAACGGGGCTGGAGGAACACCAAAAGTGATCCGATTCTGCGATTGCCCACCAGCAATCCTTCAGTCGTACAAAGGCCGCCTTTCACTGGATGACATCTTGCTAGATCATGAACTGCTCATGCAATATGATCTGACAGACTTGGCTATAAGGATCGGAGAAAAGCTCTACGAATTTAACCAAACCGGAGCTGTCCATAACGATCTAAAGCCAGACAACATCCTCGTATCCGGTCCACCATCCAACCCATATGTTAGTATAATAGATCTGGGTTTATCTTGTTATGCTAATGAGAATATCGCTTGCACCGCCGAGCACGACAAATACCCCTGGATGGCCCCTGAGGTGTGCATGGGCTTGGACAGCACCAGTATCTCGGACACCTACTCGTATGGGTATGTGCTGTCAGAGATGGTCAAAGAGGCACCCGGGGATCACTCAGAAATTTCAGACATCGCCTACCAGGCCATGGAGCCGAAGCCTCGTCACCGCATGTCTTTACGGCAACTCCTTCATCGCCTTCGCAATATTCATCGCAGAAAGATGGCAGCCGCCGAGGCATAGCCCATCCCCGTGGTTGTGCCTCAGCCCCGGGGTTTTGGTACGCCTGAACCACGACCCCCCCAGTACCTTAGGCATCTCCTTTATCTCGATTGAGAAAGCTGTCTCTGATGATACAAAATAAAACTACAGCAGCTTAACCTTGTTTTTCGCAAAACCTGTACCCCCTCCCCCACAGTATATCATATTTGTATCACTTAGCTATACTTGTATATTATTTGTCACCCAAGTGACCCATTCCCCAATTATGTAACTGTATATTTTCAGCCTCCCGGCTGCCATGCTTTTTCAATAAACCGTTAATTATATTATTATTATTATTATTATTATTACACACTGGGGATCTTTGTAACGTGTGTTACGCACACACAGGGTGGTGTAATGCGTCTAGTGTGGCAGCATTATATTAGTGTTAAGGACTGGTTTGATAAAAATGACTCAGAAATCAATGTACTCGTCGATGATAAACGTGCTGCTTTAATTGACTAACAGAACAGCCCTCAGTCTCGGACGAAAGTTCATTCCTTCCGCAAGAAGAAAGTTGCGACCCAGCAGGAACTTGACAGTCTAAAGAATGACTGCTTTAAAAATAAAGCATGTGAAACACAAATTTTGCAGATCAACACAAGATGTGCGAAATTTTCAATTCCACTAAAACATTTCATGGGACAATGACTCATGACGCAGCCCCCTCCGCTCATCCGACTGTAATTCCCTAATTAAAGACGAAGATGGCATCCTTCAGTGGTGGAAAGAGCACTACCATTTGCTGCTCAATTGAAACACCGATATGGATGTCCTGACTACCCAGCAGGACCCTCAGCATCCAGAGCTAACCCACCTCAGATATGACACCTACTGTTGTGCCATATTTGTTTACAATTTTGTCAATCACTTGAGTGGCAATAATTATTTCCAGTTCTGGACGAATCAGATATACAACTTAAGACACCCAGAGCTCCTCTCAGTCCCAGACCTCCATAAAATATCACGGTGTGAAACAACTTACCCCCACCCATCCCAGCAAAGACTACGCTTCCTTCCTTTAAATCATCTCAAAAAATATCTGTTGCCTAAGTATTAATATTCTTGTAATACCTACTTTATATTCCTCCTTACATTGTACCACCAAAACCATTACATCATAAATTGTCATGTAGATAGAAAGAAAATACCATTGCAATAAATATATTTGCCAACTAGACATAATCCTGACAGCTCTGTCCTCTTGTTCCACCTTAATACAACCCATGTTGTACTGCTTCCCTCCCTTATCATATTTATGTATATCAACTCCACTGTAAAATATGTATATACTCATAACATAAATGAAAAATCAAATCAAATAAGTAAATATTGAAGTGATAACCGTGGTAACATTATGAGATGTTCTTATTACCACCATGCTATTGTACTATTCTAGATGTTACTAAATGTTACATAATACTTCCTTGAGATAAATGTACAGTATATATCAGGTGCCTACAAGAGAGCTCAGGCTCTCAACTGGCTCAGCCATGTTAATATTGTTATTATTATCCACTCTGTATCTGTGTTCTTCTGGCTGTATAAAGCAGGAGGACCTCTGCTTACCAGCCCTCTCTCCTGAAGAATATATGTGAAAAGGAGGAAATACCCCAAGCTCTTCAAGACGCCTCCATCGTCAATATTTTTAAGAACAAGGGAGACCGGTCAGAATGTGGCAACTACAGCAGACAAGCGTCGACGCCGGAAAGACACTACCGCAGCCCTCCACATGTGCAACGCAACATCTGTGAACGATTCTGCTGGTCTCGTATCGGCCTCTCTAGTCACCTCAGAACTCACCAACCTAGATGACATCCCAAATAACTTATATCATTGCGTCATAGCTGAATGATCGTCACACTCGATTCCAAGTGACAGCAAAATAGTATGTATGTAAATATGTATGTTTTGACGACCTGCGCTGTAATGGTCAGCATGCTCGCCTCGCAAGTGAGTGTACCCGGGTTCGATCCCCGGCAGGGTGAAACTATGGGCAAGTTTCTTTACGCCACTTGCCTCTGTCTACCCAGCAGTAATTGGGAACCTGGATGTTAATCGTGTTTCGGGGTGATGGTTCGCCAGTGCAGGTGGCAAGTTGTCCGGTCTTCTCGGAATATTCCCTGCCACTGGGTCATGCAGCTCGTTAACTCAGGGTGTGGTTGTTGTGTTGGCGACAGCTTCTACACTTTAAACACTGGGTCATGCAGCTCGTTAACTCAGGGTGTGGTTGTCGTGTTGGCGACAGCTTGTACACCTTAAACAAATTCACGCCAAGGTGGCCCTTGGGTCGGCCATCCTCGTTACACGAGGGGCATCCATATTATAGTGTCAGCAGTGTAGCGTTAAAAGGTGTAGCGTCAGCATTGCAACGTCAGGAGGGCAGCGTCAGGTGAAGGTAACCCCCCCCCCCCATCATAATAATTCATAGCCACACTGTCTTTTTGTTGTTTATATATATATATATATATATATATATATATATATATATATATATATATATATATATATATATATATATATATATAGATCACGCACTACAGTGATTGCTTGCATATATATATATATATATATATATATATATATATATATATATATAAAGGGAGGAGGGAGGGAGGGAGGGAGGGGAGGGAGGGGAGGGAGGGGAGGGGAGGGGAGGGAGGGGGGGGAGGGGAGGGGAGGGGGGAGGGAGGGGGAGGGAAGGAGGGAGGGAGGGGGGGAGGGAAGGAGGGGAGGGAGGGAGGGGAGGGAGGGAGGGGGAGGCAGGGAGGAGGGAGGGAGGAATGAAGGAGGAAATGAGAGGGAAGGGGAGGGAGGTAAGGAGGAAAGGAGGAGGAAGAGGAAGGAAGGAAGGAGGAGGAGGAGGGAGGAGGGTAGGGATGAAGGGTGGGAAGGAAGGAGGAAGGGGTGGGGAGGGAGGGATGGGAAAGGGAGAGTAAAGCAAGGACGGAGGGAGGGAGGGTGGAAAGGAGGGAGGTACGGAGGGAGGGAGGGTGGAAAGGAGGGAGGGAAGGAGGAAGGTGGGAGGGAGGGGTTGGGAAAGGGAGAGTAAAGTGAGGAGGGAGGAAGGGAGGTAGGAAAGGAGGGTGAAAAGGAGGGAGGAAAGAAAGGAGGGAGGAAAAGAGAGAGGGAGGAAGGGAGGAAAGGAGGGAGGGAGGGAGGGAGGGAGGAAAGGAGAAAGGGAGGGATGGGAAAAGGGAGAGTAAAGCGAGAAGGGAGAGAGGTAAGGATGGAGGGAGGGAGGAAAGAAGGGAGGGAGGGACATCTTTCCTTCCCTCCCTACCCCCCTTCCGTCCCTTCCTCTCTCCTTCCTTCCGTCCCTTCCTCTTTCCTTCCTTCCCTCCTTACCCTTTCCTTCTCACTTCCTATCCTCTCTCCCTCAATACCTTACTTCCCTCCCTACCCTCCTTCCCTCCCTATCCTCCTTCACTGAACCACGAGGCCAGCGTGACCTCACACAGAATAGCAAGAGACCAGCCCAGGCCATCAACTGTAAACTATAATAATTTGTTTGTTCAATTCATGTTCCTTCTTCTTTCAGTATTGAAAGCTTTTGTTAAACGACCCACCCACCCCGTGTCCTTTTAAGTAATAAGTTATTTTTGTCTAATGTATATTTTCAGCCTTCGGGCTGCAGAATTTTTTCAATAAACCGTTAATTATTATTATTATTTATTGCTGTCATTCGGACTCGAGTATGACGATCATCCAGCTATGGTACAATGATCTTCTTATTTGAGTTATTAAGGATGTCAAATTCGTTGGTGAGCTCTGGGGTGACTAAAGAGGCCGATACGGGACCGGCAGAGTCGTTCACAGAAGTTGCACCTGTGGGGGGTTACATCTAGTGCGGGAGGGGCGCCGGCAGCGTCTTTCCGGCGTTGGCGCTTGTCTGCCTCGGTTTGCAGTCGGGCTAACTAGAAAATCTTGACACCTTGTGTGGTGCTCCTCCAAGCGTTACGGTGTGGAATAATCGTCTCCCAGGTGAGGGGGTCGATTTGGTACTTTTTCAGGTTTGTCTTGAGACTGTCCTTAAACATTTTCAGTTGCCCGCAGGCTTTACGCTTACTATTCGGTAGGTGACTGTAAAGTAGCTGTTTTGGCAGTCTACTGTCGTTCATGCGGGCAACATGGCCAGTCCAACGTAGTTGTTCATGAATAATGGTAGCCTCGATGCTCCTACAGTTGGTGTCAGCAAGAATACTAACAATTGTTCTCTTGTCTTCCCAGCGAACTCGGAGGATGAAACGTAGTCTACGTTGGTGAAAGATTTCAAGTGCCTTGAGGTGCCTCCTGTATGTGACCCATGTCTCACTGCCATATAGCAGGGTGGGGAGGGCCACTGCTCGATATACATGCAGCTTTGTAGATAATTTCAGCTCCCTACAGCTGAAGACACGGGTACGGAGTCTGCCAAAGGCCTGAGATGCACATCTGATCTGATGTTGAATCTCTTCATCGATGTCTACAGTGGTGGACAGGTGGGAGCCGAGATACCGAAAGTGGATAACATTAGAGAGGGTAGTACCGTTAAGTTGGATGGATGGTGGAGGTGTGGCTGAACCAGGGACAGGCTGAAAGAGAATCTGAGTCTTACGCACATTCACCTCAAGGCCAAAGTGTGCATACGCATCTGAGTAGGTGTTCAGGAACACACACACACACAGGTAACGGTACCATCAAGTCTTAACTAAGGTTTGGTTAGGTTATAACTCGATGGTAATTACTTAACATTCTGTAATTATTGATTCACTTAACACGTTCTTTAGTATTATTATAATTATCATGATTATTATTATTATTATTATTATTATTATTATTATTATTATTATTATTATTATTATTTTCGTTGTTATTATTATTATAATTATTATCATGATGACGATTATCATCATCATCATCATTATTACATATTTTAGGTAAAAAAATAGTAATGTATAAATAACTAAATGAATCGAAAATCCAAAACTGTGTGTGTG